GTCATTTACTTATGCTGCACAGCTCCTATGTGATCTCAGCCGCTCATCACCAGGTGACACCAATCAGCTGAAGTGAATTTTTATGTTTTTTCCCAATATTTATAAACTAATTTTTGGCTGAGATATGACCGTTTTCATTCTGACAGAAAATATTGAACACTACCATTATCAGCCGCTAGATGGCACTCGAGTAGTTTCGTATGCTGTTGTGTCAAGTAATAGGTAAAAAGTGGCTATTAATGACACAATTGGCTTGCCATAGTCTGCCACCTTCGTCCAGCTCACCTGCAGCAACCGTCAAATCAGCTTCATTTCGCTGCACCGCCCCTGCGAAATGCAGCTGATTTGACTATTGAAGTGCATTTATTAAGTAAAAGTTCAACTGAGACATACCTTTGCTACAAAGTCGAGCAAACAAATAATAGTTTTAGGTATTTATCTAGTTAAATTTGAAGAAATGCACAGCCTTCCTCCTTCCTGATTTTATCCCTCAGCCCCAGAGCACCGAGGCAGCAAATACTTTTGAAATGCAGATGATTTGACCGTCATAGTGCATTTATTAAGTAAAAGTTCAACCGAGACACACCTTTACTATAATTTCGAGCAAACAATTAATTGTTTTTTAGGTGTTAATCTTGTTAAATTCATCCAGTGCATGCTCCCGTGGCCGCCATTTGGCAGCCAATCAATTTTTGGCACAACACAGGCCCGCATTTCCGGTTTATCAGCGGTGACGTGTAATAGATGTGATGTACGGCGAAGTGATGTATTTATGGATTTTTCCACTTTACTTGGCATATTTGGTCTGATGTGACTTATAGGGCGGTGTAATGTGTACGGTGGAAAATACAACACACTGAAAAGCTATCAAGCTTTTTACAAACCATCAAAGCAAAAGGCTTTGGCAGCAAAGAATACAAACACTATGAAAGAAAAAAAACACGGAGAGCCACACATGGATAACGCAGGGAAAACACCAAGATGACAGTGTGAAGAGGGAATGAAAGCCAAAACTATAAGAAGTGAGGAAAATGAGGGCAAGAGGAAGCTACTGATACTAATGAGAATGAGGAACAGGTGTAAGATAAAGAGTGGAGCAAAGCTGACTTAGATGAAACAGATGGTAACATGAGGAGGCACTTGGGTAACTTAACTGAATGTACAATTTCAAGCAAAAAAACAAACAAACAAACAAACAAAAAAAAAAACAAGCCTAAATATATCCTAAAGAAAGCACAGGACACAAAAAAGAAAAAAACTGAAAAAAAAAAAAAAACTGATCAGAAAAAGAAACAAAACAACCCCAAACCCCCCCCCCCCCCCCAAAAAAAAAACCCACCTCAGATTGTGACATGTCATCCATGTCATATAAAGTTTGGGCTTTAAACAATTTATTCAAGTTTCCAGGGTGGAAGGATTTTACTGCACACCTTTAATGATTTTTAAAAACAAGAATTAGGTTCTCATTTTATAATTTAGTTATTTTTATTCTACACAGGGTAAATATTGTGCATACAGTACAGTCCCAAATGCATAATGGTGAAGTTGCACATCAGCCATGAGCTTTTTGTATCTTTTGGTTTATTTCTGGCTCACATGTGACCACTGCTCTGTGCAGAATCTGTGGACTGTATTTAAATTAGTTGGTTTCTTGGCATTGACCTGGCTTTTAAATATCTTCCACAGATTTTGAATAGGGCTGAGGTTGAGGCTTTGGGTAGACCATCTCTGAAGCTAAATGTTAGCCAGCTATGATGTGTTTAGGATCATTGTCCTGTTGGAGCACTGTATTAAGACTAGGGCATTAACAGAGTACTCAAGTAATCTACACATCGATTGCTAGGACATCTATCGAGGTAAAAAATTTAACATCCGAGTATCCGTAGTGACGTCATATTATGTGACCACCATTTCGTTTTTGACGTGCTGCACGTTTCTTCACGTTTGCAGTTTAATAATAATAACTAATAGTTTAGTTTTTCCTGTGACTTATTTGCAGTATGATAAATGGTAGGAGCATAATATACACTCCCAATGTTTTGTTGGTCTTTTTTTTGGTAAATAATTACCTTTTTTTTGCGGTTTTATTTATTTATTTATTTTTGTTTCTTGCGCTCTATGACGTCAGCAAATACTCGAGTTCTACTTGGATTTTATTATGTTATTGTCGAGTTTAAAAATTATGTACTCGTTCAACCCCTAATTAAGACCAAGATTCAACTGTCTATCTGCTGATGGAAAGGTCAAGCAGAACAATTTTGAGGTGGTAGTCCTTAATTGTACCATTCACTTTGTGCAATACATCAGTACCACGGGCAGCAAAACAGAACCAAGACAGATGGTACAATGTTCTTTGGTTAGATAGCTTCATCTTGTCTTATTACAACA